GGATTGGAAGAACTAATATTATAAAAATGACCACAGTACTCTACAAAATCACAACCATTTATGTAAAAACCCCAGTGATATGCTTTACAGAAATAGAAAAGGCAAATCTAAGATTCATACGGAAGCACAAAACACCCTGCATAGCCAAAGCAATCTGGAGCAAAACAACAAAGTTGGGAGCATCACACTTCCTGACTGCAAAATACATGACAAAGCTACAGAAATTGAAGCAGTAAGTTGGGGGAATATAGCAGTACACATGAAACAATGGTACAGGTTAGAGGACCCTGAAATAAATCCAAGTATACACAGTTAACTGGCAATCTAAGAGTGCATCAACAACCACTGCAACTTGAATCGAGTGTCCGCAGTCGGCAATGGTGTTTTGCGCAACATTTATGCACTTTTACTTCCCCAAAGACCACAAGTTTGGCATCCTACCAGTCAGTCTGAGTAGTGCGGACAGACGAAGAATCATGGGTGTTGTGTCCAGAATCAACCACAGACAAGAGGCCGGGACTTGTACGTTTAGGATGAAATTCTCATCATTCTCTCCACAGATGAACTTGCCGCCAGCGTCACAAGGGTATGTGAAGTCACCACCCTGGCACATAAACTCTGGAAAAATTCTCTGAAAGCAGGAATGCTTTGTACCAAATCCTTTTTCTCCAGTGCTCAGACCCGAAACGTTTTCTGCTGTCTTTGGAGCTTTGACAACAGCTCGAGGGAGATGTGGTCCAAGGGCTGGCTCATTGTCCATGGCGATTAGGCAGTGGTCCACCGTGGCTGACAGAAAGAAGCTCCAGGAGGCGGCGTCTGCGAAGCCAAAAATGCTTCTTAAAGTTAGTTTTGGCAATGATTTTTTTAAAAAACTTGACACCAAAATAAATAAGTAAAAGCATAGGCAATAAAGGTAAACACAGGCCAGGTAAACATAGGCCAGGCTCAAGTCAGTAATCCCAGCACTTTGGGAGGCTGAGGTGAGAGATTGCTTGAATCCACGAGTTCGAGACCAGCCTGGGCAACTTGGCGAGACCTCATTTCTACAATAAATCAAAAAATTAGCCAGATGTGGTGGCACGTGCCTGTAGTTCCAGCTACTTGGTAGGCTGAAGCGGAAGGATCACCTGAACCCAGCAGGTCAAGGCTGTGGTGGCTGTGAGAGTGCCACTGCACTTCACACTGGGCAACAGAGTGAGACTCCAACTCAAAAAAAAAAAAGAAAAATTGAGACAAATGGAACTAAATCGAACTTAAAAAGTTCTGCCCAGCAAAGAAAACAATCAGGGGTGAAAAGGCAACCTATGGAACGGGAGAAAATATTTGCAAACCATATCTAAAATATATAAGGAACTCATCAACACAGCAACGGTACCCAAATAATCTGATTAAAAAGTGCGTTCTGAGCGTGGTGACTCATGCCTGATAATCCCAGCACTTGGGGAGGTGGAGAGGAGAGGAATGCCTGAGCCCAGGGATTTGAGATCAGCCTGGGCAACTTGGCGAGACCTCGTCTCTACAAGAAGTCAAACAATTAGCTGGGAAAGGTGATGCATGCCTGTAGCTCCAGCTACTTGGAAGGCTGAAGTGGGAGGATCGCCTGAGTCCAGTAGGTCGAGGCTGCTGTAGCCATGAGTGTGCTAATATACTTCAGCCTGGGTGACAGAATGAGACTCCAACTAAAAAAAAAAAGATAATAATATAATATATATAGGATATATATTATATGTAATGATATATTGTAGTACACTATATAATCTATAGTTAGATCATATTCACCCTACAGATCTAACACCAGGGCTTGTTTCTTCTACAATATTGTCTTACGAACAGTAGTCACCATGCTGTACACCAGATCTCCAGAACTTAGTCATGTTGCGTTTCTGAAAATCTGTGCCCTGTGGTCACCATCTGTCCATTTCCCCTTTTTTCCTCATCCCTGGAAACCACCATTCTATTACCTGCTTCTGTGAATTCAAGTTTTTTGAGGGATTCTGATTTCATTTCCTTTAACTATGCACCCAGAACTGCAGTGGGGTTGTTGGACTATGTGGCAATTTTCATTCTAATTTTCTGAGACATCTCCGTACTGTTTTTTATGATGGCTGCACCATTTTGCATTCCCACCAGCAGTGTACAAGGGTTCGTTCCCTTTTCTCCCCATCCTCACCAACACGTGGTTATCTTCTGACATTTTGAAAAGCGCAATTCTGACAGATATGAGGCGATCGAGCTCTCATCGTGGTTTTGATTTGTATGTCCCTGATGATTTAGAGAGGTTAAGCACCTTTTCATGTACTTGCTGATAATGTGCGTCTTCGTTCGAGAACTGTTTGCTCAGGTTCCTTACCTACTTTTTATTTCATTTTATTTTAATTTTTTGGAGTCAGAGTCTCACCTGTTGCCCAGGCTGGAGTGCAGTGGCACGCTCACGGTCACTGCAGCCTCGATCTGCTGGGCTCAGGCGATCCTCCTGCCTCAGCCTTCCAAGTAGCTGGAACTATAGGCGTGTGCCACCATGCCCGGCTAATTTTTTTATTTATAATAGAGATGAGTCTCTCCAAGTTGCCCAGGCTTGTCTCAAACCCCTGGGCTCAGGTAATTCTCTTTTCCTCAGTCTCCTAAAGTGCTGGGATTATAGGCGTGAGCCACTGTGCCTGGCCAATAGATTTCAAAATAGCTAGAAGAGAATAATTCATATACTTCTAGCATAAAGAAAAAACAAATATTTAGGGCAATGAATGTCCCTAGTATATTAATTTGATCTGTACAAATTATAGAACTGTATTAAATGATCACATATGCCATGACACTGTGTACATCTCTTATTTTTTAATTAGGTTTTACTCTATCATGCTCATGGCACACTGCATGCTTGACTTCCTGGGCTCAGGTGATCCTTCTGCCTCAGCCTCAGAGTATCGCACACCACTATGCCTGGCTAATTTTTTTTTTTGTACAGACAGGGTCTCACTATGTTGCCCAGGCTGGTCTCGAACTCCTGGGTTCAAGTGACTCTCCCACCTTGGCCTCCCAAAGTGCTGGGATTACAGGTCACTGCTCCTGGTCAAGAATTTCCTTCCTTTTAAAGGCTGAATAATATTCCATTGTATGGATAGACCATGTTATGTTCATCCAATCATCTTTTTAAAAAAGAATCTATTTTTATTTTATTTTTAAAGATGTGGGGTACAATTTGGGGTTAGGTGTACAAATGGTCATTGTGCAGGTAAAGTTTGGGTTTCCTTTTGGTCCCCACTTCACCTGGTTTGAGATCAGGTACCCTTATTGAGGAAGTGTGCTCTCTCCCCTCCCCTGGCAGTTTCCCATTACTGCCAATCCCTTTCTTATAGTATTATGATCAATATTCAGGATCTGCTTATGAGTGAGAACATGTGGTATTTAGTTCCTTATTTCTGTGATAGATCACTGAGTATGATAGGCTCTGAGTCCCTCCAAGTTGCTGGAAAGTTCATAATTTTGTCCTTCTTTATGACTGTGTAATATTCCATCATCTATTCATCTTTTGATGAACACTTGGGTTGCTTTCACCTTCTGGGTTATTGTGAGTGATGCTTCTATGCACACAAGTATACAAAAAGGGGAATTTTTTAGTGCACCTGTGTTGACATCATCTTGTCTGTATTTTGGAGATCCCCTTAAAAACATGGGTTTTATAAACCCAATCTTAAATATTAGAACAGGCTGGGCATGGTGGCTCATGTCTGTAATCCCAGCATTTTTGGAAGCAGAGGTGGGAGGATCCCTTGAGGTCAGGAGTTTGAAGCCTGGGCAACATAGTGAGATGTTGACTCTACAAAAAAATACAAATAAAATTAGCTGGATATGGTAGTGCACGCCTGTAGTCCCAGCTACCTAGAAAGCTGAGGCGGGAGGATCGCTTGAGTCCAGGAATTTGAGGCTGTAGTGAGCTATGAGAACACCACTGTACTCCAGTCTGGACAACAGTCAGGCTCTGTTTCTAAAGGAATAATAAAATAGGTCGGGTGTGGTGGCTCAAGCCTGTAATCCCAGCACTTTGGGAGGCCAAGGTGAGAGGATTGCCTGAGTCCACAGGTTTGAGACCAGCCTGGGCAACTCGGCCAGACCTCATCTCTACAATATGTAAAAAAATTAGCCGGGCATGGTAGCATGTGCCTGTAGTTCTGGCTACTTGGAAGGTTGAGGCGGAAGGATCGCTGGAACTCAGTGAGTAGATGCTGGGGTGGCTGTGAGCGTGCCACTGCACTCCAGCCTGGGCCATGGAGTGAGCCTCCAACTCAAAAAAAAAAAAAAAAGAAAAAAAAACCAGAAATAATAAAATAAAGAAATAAAGTCTCCTTTCCAAATTTATAGATCTAGTGATTTTTAATTTGACAGAAATATATTTATTTTGTTGACAAAATACCCAGTCTAAGATATCTTGTTATAGCAGTCAGAAAGAATTAAGATAACATCTTACACACTGCTCTGCGTACATTTATTGCAACTAATGATTTGTTGTAATCATTTATTGCAAATAATGAACCAAAACTGATACATTATGAATGCATATATACTATTATTATATTATACCATATACATATTCTATTATGTATAATTATATATGTATATATCATATTATACTATACATATATTATATATTTATGCTATTATCATATTATGAATGTATTTATACTATTATTATAAATACACACTATTTATATTTCTTTGATTTTTTGCCTGTCATTTTTCTGTCCCTGGATCCCATGATATCTGGTGCCTTGGGTGCCTCTGATCTGTGAATGTTTGTCACACTGTCCTTGTTTGTGACACTCTGGGCAGCTTTGAGAAGGCCTTGACAGGTAGGTATCTTGCATCTTTTGTTTAGAGAACCAGTCACCCAAGTCTGCCATCCTTGAGTTTTCTTTCCTGGCAAGCAGATGCCCCCAGGAATGAACGGAAAAAAAATTTTGAAAATCGGAAAAAAAAAGCCTCACCCACCTCCCCAGGGGCAGTGGTCAGGGGTGCACCTGCTGCACGCCGAAGAAGGTCTCGTCGGCATTCCGGGAAGGCAGCAGGGGTAGGGTGAGGTTGGTGCAGAGGGTATCCCCGCGGGCCAGGGGCGTCAGGCGCTGGGAGGTCACGGTGCAGGCATACTGGAAGCTGAGACGCAGCAGGCTGATGCCACGAGCAGCCGGGGAGCAGATGCCCACGGCCAGGGTGGCCCGGCGGGGCCTAGGGGTCCACGTGGAGGAGCAATTGGTCAGCGTCACCTGGATATGCAGCCGGTAGGTGCCTTCACGGTGGACACGTAGCTGTCCGTCCACCAGCTCCAGTCCATGCAAGAAGGAGCGACCCAGGGCTGGGCCTGCCTGCCAGGACAGCCTGGGATCCTGCCGAGGGCCTGGGGACAGAGGGGGTGAGGGTTAGGGAAACTGAGGGACAGGATCATAGAGATCGGGGTCACAGAGATCGAGGGATATGAGACAGGGAGTTAGGGAGGAGGAAGGAGGGAGAGAGATACTAGGAGACAGAGAAAGACACAGAAAGAGACACACCGAGAGACACACAGACAATGTCTCGCTGTTGCCCAGGCTGGAGGGTGGTGGCATGATCATAGCTCACTGCAGCCTCCAACTCCTGAGCTCAAGGAATCCTCCCGCCTTGGCCTCCCCAAACACTGGAATTACAGGCATACGCCACCACACCCCACCTTATTTCGTGCACTTTGTTGCGCTGCCCTCTCTGTGTGTCACCTGACCCTAACTCTCCTCTCGGTCAGGGCTCCCCTGGACAATGGCTCTCTTGGAAGGATTAAACAGAACACAGGCCACAGAGGTGGTAGCTGGGATGTACAAGTGAACACCCGGTCACTGGTCAGATGCTTGGGCGTTAGGTCAACTCCCAGGACAAAGAAGTGTCCAGTGAAAAGCACGTTGTAAACATCCACGACCCCCTCCCCTGGAACAGGGTAGGGCAGGGCTACAGGTTATAGCCACTCTCCAGAGACAGACCTGAAGCCCAAATTAGAGGAAAACTACAACAGAGGGAAGGAGAGAGGGAGGGGGAGAATGAGAGAGAGAGAGAGAAGAAAAAGAAAAGAGAGAAAGAGAAGAGAAAGGGAGAGACAGAGAGAGAGAACAACAGAGAGAGAAAGGAAGAGAGAAAAGAGTAAGTGTGAGAGAGAGAAAGAGAAAGAGAGAGAAGGGAAAGGAGAGAGAGGGAGAGACAGATAGACACACCAGGGCTCAGAGGGGGTCAGGGATCCAAAGAGAAGAGAAACAGGTTTTCCCCACCACAACATGTAGTGGATTTGCACCCAGGCCTCCAGAGACCTTGACCTCTGGGGAGCGTGTGGAAGGCCAGAAGAGGAAGAGGTTAGAGAGGCGGCAGAAGGGAACAGTTCTTCCCACCCACAGGAGAATGGCTCCCTCCCCGCCTCCCTTGGGGCTCACCCCACCCCCATGGCTCCATGTCAGAGGGTGACCCTCGCCCTGGCCTGCCTGGACTCCCCACCCTCTATTTCTAAATATTCCTCCAAAAACAGACTCCTGACCCGCTTGACTCTACCGGGCATTTGACGTGTTCATTTATTTGTTGTTTGGGGCTTTCTGTCTGTGGGTGGGCGATGGAGGGGTGCTACGACACCCGGGCCTAGGGGGCTCCCAAGAATCTGTGGATTCTTCCAAGGGAGGGGACCCGTGGGGGAAGGAGCCGGGTCCCAACAGATTCCTGTCGTCTCGCTCCATCACTCCCTTTCTCTTTCATTCTCTCTTGCTGGCTCCCTCTCCTGCTCTGGCTCTTTTTGTCTTCTTCCTCTCACTCTCTCTCTCTCTCTGTCTCTCCTTTG